CACACACACACACACACACACACACACACACACACACCTTGGGTTACTTGGGAACCACTATGGGAACCTTGGTGCCCAGTAGAACCTCTCTTCTACAGGGTAGCTCAACATTTCTATCATTCAGTGATGAAGAGGAGCTGAGGCTGCCATCAGAGTGAAGTCAAAGAATGGGAACTTTTTAAAAAAGTGCTTTGTAGTTTTTATTCGTGGTAATATCACTGTTATACAAACGATTATCTGAGTACATGGCTTGTGAATCCTCATGGCAAGTTCTCCCAGCGCAATGAGACTCTGTAACAGGAAGTTCAGACAACAACAACAACACATTCATGTGTGAACACGTTGCCAAGTTCTCGTGCAAACATTCTTTTCTTGTCCTTCAAACAAGACACACAGGCAGGTAGTGCTGCAACAAACTATTTAAACTAACACGCCTTTTATTGCTGTCATATAATACATCTGTATAGTACATGAAACAAACAAAGTTTAAATCTTTCTTCTTCTTTTTTTTGATATTACATGTTGGGTTTGGCACATATTATTTCTCTTTCACTGACTTGTGAACACTGTTTGTGATCTGCCCTGTTTCTCTGTTCATTTGTCATTTGCCTGACAGTTAAAGGCAACCTGAGCTCGTCTCACAGCTTCCTTTGTGTCTCTGTAGGTTTCATTTCTAACTAGTCACGATGCCAGAGAGCGATAGACCTCAACACACTTGGATACCTCGAGTAATAAGTAAGAAAGTGATTTTGAACAGTTTTGCACACATCTGCAGCTGCTGTGTGTCATTTGTAACTGAAACCATGTCTGCCTTCCTTCAGGGTGTATCTCTGTGATTTTCTTCATCCTGTTTAATGTTCAAGCGATAGTTGGTAAGTGTGAGTGGCTCTTTATTCAGACTGAATTCATCTACATTCATTTATGTGTTGGAAGGAAAATTTGAAAAATCAAATAACAAGAACTATGCAACAACGACTTGACAGTTGTCTTCATTTTCATGCTTGTGCTCTGTAGGATGTGTGTACTTTAATGACTGTCCAAGGGCGCCCTCCATTCCCATCATTCTGGTTATTTGTGGATTCATACCTGTCTTGTGGGGATTGAGCCGGTTTTTGAACAGGTGCAATATTTTCTTCGACTGTCTGTTCCTCAACCTCCATTTTGCCTGCTTCATCATCGGTAAGTATCCTGGTTCTGGATCACTTGACCCAGCATTTTGGGGAACTTTGTTTTGAGCAGCCTTGTTAAACAGCTCACTTTCTGATAAAATCAAGTTTTGTTCCACGCTTCTACTTTTGGGTCCACAAGTATAACTCCACAAAGTGTGTATCGTCAGATTGAAGTTATATTCAGCTTCTTAACAGTGAAGGTTGCTGTTGTAATACACAGCCAGGCACTGCAGTACATACCTGATGTGATTAGCAACATGGTGGTGACAAATGCTGTATTTTTCAAAGGCCAAGTGAAGCTTCTCATGACTGAAATTAGACCAAAAACCAGACTTAAAGCAAAATTATTTTTGGAAAAATGATACCATTATTGCCCCATGCTTGCTGAAAATGTAAGCCTGTCACTTGTTGGGATTAAAGAATTTGCAATAATGCTATGCTTTTTATGAATAAGTGTTATAAAGTCATATAGTGTAGTAATAAGTGGACACAGCCCTGAAAAATAAAGGCATTAGACTATGCAGACTCTCGCTCACGCTTGCCTGGGAAAAAGTAGATAACAGGGGACCATCTCTACTGGAAAGTTACTGAGACACTGTTGTTTAGACTAAAGTGAGAGAGCTGGTAATAAAACTGTTAGGGGACACCACCAATTTGAGATCCGCGGCAACGTGTCATGCAGGAAGCATGTCTCTTCTAGAAGTATTGTGAAAGAGAATTAAAGTGTTAAATGGTCTGCTGAGCAGTGTTTTGTCTTCCATCGGCTGCCTCTGAGGAATCAAAAGATCTCAGAGGCATTAAAGTGTTGATATTTAGCACACTTCATCCTCCAAACTGCTCTAAATGCTCACTTTATGATTTTTTCTACTGTTGGCTCTGTACAGCAAAAACACGCCACCTACAGTTCAAACTGTCAGTTTATGAGAGGTAGCCAATCAGAGGAAATTGTCTTAGAACAAGAGGAGCCAAAGACATACATGTGACCCTGTTATTCTAATTATTTATTTTTAATATTTGATTTCCCCCTGAACCTCATTGTCTGTTATCTGATATCGGTAACAGTGCTTGTGTTGGGTCTTTAAAGAGTATAGGTTGTGTGAGTTTGACCATGTGAGTAGGTAGTGTTTGTAAGCTGTGAACAAATTGCCGTTTTGGGATCAATACAGTTATTTGAATTTGAATCAAAACCTCTAGTTGCAGACAAAAGATGAACTGAGAGGCTGCAAGAAGCAGAATATAAAACGAATCAGCATTATTTAAAAGTGTTAATGATGCAAATCAACTTCAGTGGAATAAAAATCTAGAGCTGGAAGTTAGTATTAAAGAAAGACACCAGAATGAGCAGGATTTTTTTTTGTTGTGAAAAATGAAATGTATTTCTTTAAAAATGAAACTAGAACTAATAAATAATAAATAATAAATAAATAAATAAATAAATGCATTACAGCAATATTTGTTGTTGCCAAGCATGATCAGACCTTATTTTCTGAGATCTTATTTACATTTTTCCAGGTAGCATAATCGTCTACTCCATCTATGAACCCGACTACAACAAGAACACTACAGAAACCGATCACTACTGCAACAAGACGCTCTACCTGTCTGCATTTTGTTGCATCACCCTGACCTACATCATGACAGGTGTTTATGCTTTCACTTATTTTTTTGCTCGCTGCACCAACCAGATGGTTTACGATGATGAGGATCGGCCACTGTTGTGGAGCTAATCATATGAAAGTGTGTACGTTTGTGTGTTCCCCACCTCCTCTTAGACCAGTGGACCAATACTGATGAAACAGATTAAAATGGTTTCACAATAATATATATCATATCAAATATATCAAACTATAATGGTCATATACTAATAATAATAATGATGCTGGCTGTAATAAAATCACAAGCAAACAACAGACCAAATATTATACAAATATTTTCATGTGTGCTTATATACAGAACATAATCCATTTAATGTTGGTTAATACAGCAACATGCAGTTTTTGATCTTTTGTTAGAGAAATCTTACTATTAACAATTCATACAGATGACTCATCATAGCAGAATAAATGATCATGATCTTCCCCGTTTAACAAACGGATATATTTTGTGTTATTAAATGTGTGATTTTATTTATTTTCCAATATCCATGCTGTTTCTTTCTTCTTCTTCTTCTTTTTAATTGTAAGTAAATAAATAAATAAAATGGGTTAGGACAACAGGACAACCTGTTGTTGATTGGTTCTTGTTGTTTTGAGACAGCAGCTTTGATCATTGATGTGTGGTGTAGATTTAAGCTGCTTCAAACTTCTCTTGTACCTCCGCTAGTTTGTAAGTTAACACCAGAGCACTATTACATTTCCTAGTTGTTTATTATGCTAAACACCCCTTTTTTATTTTATTTTATTTTATTTTATTTTATTTTATTTTATTTTATTTTATTTTATTTTATTTTATTTTATTTTATTTTATTTTATTTTTGCTTTGCTCTATGCTCTATGAGAAAACACACTTCTACCCTGTGGGGCAAGGAATCGCCTGCAGTAATATTTGAGGCCACTAGATGTCCCCCTAATGCCTCTACATCATGCAGTAAATAATTGTTATGACTGAATCTCGAATAACAAATTTTCTCAACATTATTCATTTTCTTTCCATTATTAATATATATCCTTTTTTTGCCTTTTGACATGATTTTTTTCTACACTCAACCATCAGTGAAATTAAATTATTAAAAATAAAAGAGAGCGGTGTTGGAACTGAGAACAGGGCGTGTATTTCACAAGAAGCAGAAAGACCTCGTCCAGCACAGGAAGTGCACTTATACTCTGTCTACAACAATGTTTATGCGAATACGAGGGGAGGCTGATGGAAACTTCTTCTGGGAGTAAAACTGTCAGTTAGAAAAGAAGAACCATGGCCTACTCTCATAAGAGTCTGGGGTTTTCTTCAACAGAGGTGTTTACGTTTGTGCTCTGATCTGTGAACACAAAAGAGAGCTTTGGAAAACTGAAAACTAACACTGGAAAAAGGATACAGTGAATTTTCTGCAAACCCTGAGCTTTACCCCACATTTCCTTAAATATACAAAAACAAACAAGAAAATAAACGAAAACAGAAAACAGATATTTTTTCATTGTTAATTTTCTTTATCTAAAAGTGATTCACATGTTTAATTACCATGGAAATGGCTGTACTTACTTATGATTACATGATATAACTGTAATGGGAAGGGCAGGCAAAAAGAGAACAGGCGTTAAAGTGAGACAGTGTAAGAGGAAGTTGAAACAATATCATGCGCACATTGCTCTTTATGTGGCCACGTACTTGCAACAGTCCTTTTCTGTATCTTCAAATGTGTCCGGTCAGACACACAAACAGGTCGGTCTGTAACAATCTATTTAATGCTTTCACATAATACACTTTAATTTGCTAATTATTTTAACACAGGAAAGGAAGTTCATGGGCATTTCCTTAAATTGTAAACGATAAAATTCAGTGCCTGGTTTAAAAAGATGGAAAAACATTGACAGATAGACAAATATTAACAGCTGGAGGTTATCTCGTGGCTATCTTTGTGTCTTTGTAGGTTCGACTAATAGTTATCATGCCAGGGAGTCAGAGACCACAATTCGTGTGTGGACTACGAAACATAGTAATAGGTGAGAGAGTTGAAAATCTTTGCACATGTGTAGATGGTGCACACTGCGATTTGTGACTGACAAAGCGCTGTATCTGCCTCCAGGATGTACCTTGATCATTTTCTCCTTCACATTTGTTGCTCAAGGAATACTTGGTAAGCAAGAGATATTGTTATTGCAATGTTCAGATCAGATTCATGCGAATGTATTTTTATGTGTCACAAAAATCCCAAAAGGTTGATTCTGTTCATCTGGACGTAGCGTTTTCAGTTGGAGAAACGTTTCGTGACTCATCCAAGTGACTTCTTCAGTCTCAGCTGACTGCAGGTTTCCCCAATCTTATAAACAGTACATTTGCATAATGACTGAAACCAGCCCACTGAAGGAACACTGGGCTGGGAGGTCAGTTCCTTGATCATTAACATCATGATCATTGACCAAAACCCACTGATCAAAGACCACTGATCAATGGCCATGAGTACAATTCACTGAGAGTTGGGGAATGGCTGCAATCACAGCATTGTAAGATGGTGAAAGATGTACCCTTAGGCCCCCTGCTCGATTCAGAGATGGTCTTTCCCTTTTCACGGAAATGGCCTCCTTCACTCTGCGCTCAAACCAGCGTTCCTCCCTGTCCAGGATGTGTACATCCTCATCATTGAAAGAGTGTCCACTGGCCTGTAGGTGTAAATAGACTGCAGAGTCCTGGCCTGACGAGGTAGCTCTTCTGTGTTGTGCCATCTGCATCACCAGAGGTTGTTCCCAATGGAGCAAGGAACTGAGCTCCCAGCCCATTGTTTATTCAGTGGTGCTAGTTTCAGTCATTATGCAAATGTACAGGGTGGGCCATTTATATGGATACACCGTAATAACATGGGAATGGTTGGTGATATTAAAG